ATTAATAAAAAAAAAAAATATTTTTAAAAATAATTAAACAAATAAATAATATTTTTTATCCTATTGTATTTTAAAATTATAATCTTAAACATTTACTCGCGTTTGCATCAGAAAGATTAAAGATGCTGCAAATATTTCTTTTAATTTCAGATTTATTTATTTAAAAACGTAATATTTTGGGGTAAAATACCTATATTTTTTCATACATATCGTATCAAAAACTCATAATTATATTAGCTTCGATCCTTGCATTGTACAAATGCCAAGAATACAATTTTTTACGAAAATAAAATAAAATATATTATTTCGGAAAAAAACATCGAAAAAGGACGTTTATATACATATGTATACAGTTGCATACGAAAATATGTGGACTTGCTACCGGCTACTTGCAGTTGTCGAAATTGGCGTTTCAGGAATGATAGGATAGAACTTCTTAAAACGGTTGCTACAGTTGCGCGAACGGCGCTCTCGTGCGATAGAGTCACCATTCGTGGATTTATTATAACGGTGTGATGTAATTGCCCGCGGTGAAATATAAAGAATGTCGACAAAAAAATGCGAAATCGTATACGAAACGCACTCAATGACAGGGATTGTCAGCTGATGAAGGAACGCGGAATAAGCGGAACACGGCCGGACCAGTTCGCAAACGTCAAATGGTATTTTGCCGCAAACCACGTAGATAAAATCAACCGCAGTAAAATTTGACGATGACTAACTTCGTGGAATTATCAAATCGATTTTCATCGAGAGTCGTAGAACGTGTGGCAACGGCGAGCTAAAATACAAAGGAGAGAAACTCGCATCGTTTTTTTAAATTACGTTTAGCTAGAGTAAAAAACTTGAAAGAAACGAATTATTGGCGAATTTTGTCGCGCTAGATGTCATTAGAAAGAAGGGAAAATTAGAATTGATTGAGTCACTGCTTGATTAATATACTTTTCTTTTTAACTAATCGCTCGATAATGAAATTAATTTATAATTCTTTTGAGAAATAAATGTTATAACGTTTACCGACTTTTGTTTTATCGATTTTATGTATCTTTATTAAACTTTACCTCGATATATTTGACACTAAAATTTATTATGATGTTATATCAAAACAAAAAATTGAAAAAATTTTGTTGTGTTGATTCGAGCACCAGTTATCTGATATATACTGATATAATTATATTGTTTGTGTGTGTGTCATTTCTGTGTTAAGTGTAAAACAATGTAGAATATAGGGACACAGTACAGCTATGCGCTTTCTATTTGATCATGCATTTGCAGTCTCGTCTCGATTACCGCCGGAAAATTATTACGACATAACTGCATAGTTTACCAACGATCTTGCAATAGGCGAGAGCAAAATGTTCTTTCTATGATCTCGGTAACTCGGTGACAATATTATATATGCCTAAACGTGTAAATACATCGCCTTAATTACGATTCACTAATTACGATTAACTTTTGCTTTCTGATCGCGATATATACAGATTCAATAGAGCCTTACATTATTTTTTCTTTCTTTTTCTCGACAATTTGTTCACTTAATTTTCTATTTAAAACTATCAAAGAATATATATTTAATTCGAAAAAAATTAAAATTAAACTTACATAAATTAAATAAAGTTTAATTTAAACAAAATTATTTCATGATGTTAAATAATTTTTATATCACTCAAGATCGAGAAATATCTGTAAAAATGTATAGCATATACCAATTTCTTATCAAAGAGAAAAAAATTCCGTAATATACAACATAAAAATTATGTGTTGTATATTTTTTATGATATTTTCATGTTACATCTAGTTGTGTTCACATTCTTATGGATAATTTATATTTTTTTAATTTTATAATATTTTAACACCTTAAATCAAACAAAATAAAGAGATCACCAAGAGATAAACTACAAATTGTATAACATAAATTTAAAATACCTATCAGATGTGTAGCGTGCATCGATTCGAGCTTACATAACTGCTTTGAAAATATAAACAGATTTCTTGTTGTACGGTCTATGCAACCGTGTCTATTCAAATGAGCGGCGCTGTTCTAAGACTGCTTTGTGTAAGATAGCGACACATACGCATGTGCTGAGTGCAACGAGATAATCTTCGACCCTTCAAAATATCGAACGCGCTTTCGACTGGTGTCCTTTGCACGAGCACACAAACCAGTGATTAAATGTCTCTTATTATTCTTCCGTGATACACATCGGCATGCCTCCAGCAATGATTTATGGGAAAATTATTTAATGATTACGATAGCGTAATCGCGAGAATTGTAAGTTTCGATTTTTTGCTTAACTCGTTCTTCAATATGTTTATCCTCACTGTCAAATTAATGCACCTTGTTTGCATTGTCTTTTTTTATATGTCTCTCTTTCTCACTCTCTCTCTCTCTCTCTCTCTCTCTCTCTTATGAAGATCTGAAGATACTCGAATGTGTGCGCGACGACTATAGTCCATTATTTGTAGTAACTACGTTTTGTTCAACAATTGCTCTCTCTCTCTGATACTCTCTCGGGCAGCTTTTTATCTTCATATAAGTTTCTTTATTATCTTCATAAATCACATATTACAAATGCATTAATCAAATATGAAGATATTACTTGTGACATATTACATTGTTGATTTGCAAACGTGTAATTTATCAGCTATAAAGTCGTTAATATGAAAATTCAATTACTCATTTCGATTATTCATATCTTGGCTATTTAACCAAGATATGTGGGATTAGAAAAAACGATACGATTAAAAATTATATCAAAAATAAAAAGCGCTCTAACATTACTGTGAGTTGATTTTTTGCTTTTTTTAAAACTAAACTATATCATTCGTATATCAATTTCTTTAATGATAGAAAACAAAATCTTTTTCAAACTTGGAATTTTGAAGGTGCAATAACAAATAAATAAGTGAGTAAGTGCTACAATCATAAGCCTAAAAAACAAGGTGTAAAAGATCGTTGTGCATATAGTATATAATTATAAAAACGTATTACTTTCCAAATAATGTTTAAAGTTGTGGACGTTATGCAAAGGAAATTGGATCTATCTAGAAAATTGATACGAACAAACTATTATACGTACAGTAAATATGATGATAATGACGGTATATTAAAAGAGCAAACTTATTCAAACAAAAGATCAAGATTTACAAATCTGTCTTTTTTCCGAAGATATCGGAAGTGTAATACAAAGTCCTTCGCTTCTAATCTTAAAGAGATCCAAGGTTCTTCCACATTGTTGTTTTCCTGGACCAGATAAAATATACGATAACATAATAATGCGCAGATATTCGCGATGTGCTTGGGACAACTGCGTAATAAATCTCATTTTTTTCAAGGATCTGCGTGATACGTCTACCTTGGTATAGACAACATATAGCCGCACGCAATATGCACGCACATATATCTCAGCAAACATTTGTGAATAGCATTAATAACATTAATTATTGAAATATATTTATGTATATTTAATGATTTTACTATTTTTGTAAAGTACTTTAAAAATTATACAACTAGCAAAAAATATATTTTTACAGAGGCATATTAATCATAAACCAATTAAAAATTAATATAAACATTTTCTAAATAAAATTCTAAATATACATTTTTAGTTTTAAAAAGATTATTTTTCTGATTTATTTCTCTGAATAAACGTTATATTTTCCAGGATGCCATTCTAAAAATTTATGAAACAAATTAAAGCAGGAAATAACTATAAAATATTATGAATTTTATATTTTATTCAAGAAAAATCAAAACAATACAGAATTTGTGATTTTATTCTAATCATAATGGATTATTTTAGATGAAATGAATTAAAAAACGAGCATTAATTTATTCTTTTATGCTGAATACAAAGTAGCTAATTATCAGCAAAAAATTAATCTCACTTTCAAAATACGCATTTGCTTAATCCATCAGATAAACGATCGAGTATCATTTTTCATCTTTGCGGCAAAAAATTACAGAATGGACCACGCAATACATAAGATCAAGAAATCACCACTGTTCGCTCGACTGCTATATATTGTAATTCCAACATCGCAATAACACTCGTTGCAAAAGTAATGTTGCACTTTAATGATCAAAGTAAGAACAGAGTATTTCTGAGCTCTTAAATATAAATTACGAAATTTCGAGTTGCTGCAATCCTTTATCCACGATCAAAATTGCTGATTGTGAGTCTAACGCTGAGATCAAGATTCGTAGATTCATAGATGCAATAAAATAAAAAAACATAACGAATAGAATAATTGGTATATCTTATATCTCAATGAATAATTATGAAATCAGTGAATTATATTCCACATTTGTTCCATTTAGCGATATTATCTTATTGTTTACTATTTTATTTTTTGACGGCAGAAAGTTGATTATATTAAGAATTAAGAAATTTGATGCTAAATCTATATTATTTGAATGAATGAATAAAATATCAATATAAATGATGCATACGTAAATCCAAAAAATTAAAATTACACATTATTAAAAGTAATTAAATATTAATTGATTCATAAATGGATAAACTATTTTCTCAAAATTGTTAAGTAGAGCTAGTGAAGTTTCATCACGTAATAAAATTCAGAAGATCAACAATAATTGGAGTATATGCGAAAAAATAGCTTGCCGGAGAATAAAATCACAGAAACTGCCTTATTAGAGAGATAGCTTGATTTGTGGAATTTTCTTAATTACGGAGAACATCAAGTTTTCTTTTGCGCTCTTCCTTTGCTATAATTTCAGAATTTCTCAATTATGCGCTTTTATTGAACGTGCTTTTCCTTTTTGCCGACAGATACCTTCATGCTGATAATTCTGAGTTTGCTCAGCATCGCATCCGGTTGCATTATACTACTATTCCATCCCTACGAGTTACTCTTCAATTGGAAAATAACATTCGGCGAGGGAGGTGAGATTTTTGAGAAGTGGCGAAAACCCGAGGTCGACCTCTACTTGAAAGTCTATCTATTTAACGTGACAAATCGCGACGAATACCTAGATGGCCGGGAGAGCAAGCTACGATTCCAACAAGTTGGTCCTTACGTTTACAAGTGAGTAATATAATATATAATTTGATTAATTATGCATTTTTCAGAAACAAATATATGAGAGTATCATTTTTCTATGAATTTTTAATTAATAATTATGAATGTGGATTCATATGACTTGATTAGATGGCTTAGTTGACTTTTTGAAGAGACGCGTTTTATAGTTATAGTACTTTACGAAACTTCTCGCAGAGGAAGTTAAAACACAAAAAGAAAGTTATATCAAATCATCACTGAAAACCCTGGGAAACCCGAGCGGCAGAAGTGATGAAATTATATGTTCTTGTTTAATGTAAAAGAAAAAAGAGGAATGGTCGTGAAAACCAGAGATCGGAGCTCGGCCATTAATGATATTCAAGAGCGCGAGAAAGAAGTGGATATATAAGCTCGTAAATAATTATTAAGTGGACACGAGATCTAGTTTACATACTGTCTCACGTACACTTGACCTTCTGTCATTGCGCTCTTATTTTTCATTTCTGGCATTCAACCGAAGTAAATTTGCATGGTATCGCAAGTTGCATTTACGCGACCGAATATTTAAGGTCGTTCTTGAAATACTTCAAGTTCATTACTAGAGAGTTCAAAAATCTCTGAATTAAATTTTACTTAAATGAATAAATTTATGGAAAATTAACGAGACAGAAAAATTAAGACACAGAGAACAGAATAATCATGGATGAGAAGAGAAAAACGGTTACAAAAAAAAAAAAAGTTAAAAACCTATTTTTTTTTAAATATTTAAATTGAAAATAAAAATAATATTGATGATAATATAAATTAAAGTCACACTTTCTATTTATATAGTTGGATTAAAAATAATTGATTACATATAAAGTTTTGCAACGTTATTTTCCAATAATATATCCTTATTTTGACAATATATTCAATCCAATAGATTTATTGAAAAGTATGTTTCCAAAAATCACGTGTAATACACACAAGAAAACATATTCTAAACATAAATGTAATAATGATGTAAATATAATGATGAATGCTAACATTATTTCACATGGCACATTTCGTTTCAGAGAACTGTTCGAGCATACAGATATAGTTTTCAATGATAATGGTACGTTATCGGCAAAACCAATGCATCCACTGAATTACATCCCGGAAATGAGCCACGGTACGGAAGAGGATCTCGTAATAATGCCGAATATCGCGTTGTTCGTAAGTAACACAGAGTATCACTCTTATAAATCGTAAATGATACTGCAAAATCTCTATAAATTCTTTTTATCAAACGCGGAATATGATTAACGTGCAGCGCCCGTTTTTTCTGATAAATGGACATTCGTGCAAAAGCAGCTGCTTGCTAACGTAAAAGAACGTGTTGATTTTGATGCAAAAGTTCGGAAAGAATAAAATGATAAGAATTTTAAAAACATTCTAATCAGTAATTATATCTCGATTCTGTTTTTTTTTTTTTTTTTTGTCTTTTTAAAAGAACGTGTTGATTTTGATGCAAAAGTTCGGAAAGAATAAAATGATAAGAATTTTAAAAACATTCTTTTTAAATAAGTATTTATTTCTCGTTTTTTTTTTTTTTTTTTTTTTTTTTTGTCTTTTTCTTGACGCAATTAATCGACAATTAATATCACATGTTTACATGTACGCGTAAATAAGATATAACGTAAATAAGGAAAGACATCAAATTTCTCGCAAGAGTTAATATCATATATTCATATTAATGTTAATATCATATATCATATTCCACTCATTCCAATATAAATGAGCTCTTTTATGGAACTATAAAATGAACTTTATAAGGAATTCCTAGAATTTCTCGATATGAATTATAAGTATGTAAAAAACAAGTATACGATTTATCGTGTTTCCTGACACGATATGTAGGTTACAATTGATATTTATTGATCGCAAAGTATAATTACTAATAATGAGAAAGAATCCATGCTACTATATAAATCAATGATAAAAATTTGAACCAAGCACATAATCGCACGATTTTCAGAAACACCCAATTATCGAGGATTAAATATAATTAAACGAAGCAAACCGTCTTATACATTATTCACGACATGTTCACTGTGTCTGATTCAATACGTAGAATTATCAAAAGTTTATCGAAACGTGATTCTCAAATGATAATTCACCGTGTATATGACGCGCAAATCAAGATGTAATGATCAATATAATAATATGTAACAGAGGTATAAACCTTGACCACACAAAACACGAATTATATCAATCATAAGTCCCGTAATGGAAAAACTCGGACGTCTCTTATATATGAGTATTAATTGATGATATTACCCACAATTTGCATATAAAAATAACGCAATTAAACTTCTAGCAAATAATAAATACAGACCTAGAAACCAACAAAAAATGCTCATAATTCCGTATTTATACTCACATTTGTATCTTTATAATTTCCGATGTAATTAAAAGTAATATTCTGCATATTAAAATCAAGTAAACAATTAGTAATTAGAATGCAATAACATTTTGTTTTATCCAGATTTTTAAAATATTAAGAGATAATATCAAGAGATAAAAATTTTGATATTATTAATTACTGTGACTTATCTGTGTTATAATCAATAATAGCAACAATAAAAAATATTATTAGATACTCTAATCGTGTGCAAAGTGTTACAATAAAACAAAAATTAGCGGACAAAAATATGATACATATCAAAAAACATTTGATAAAAAAGCATTTTGATTGCAACAAATGAGAACTTATTGTTAGATCAACTTATTGCGTCAACTATCTATCACCTATCTAATTCTGAGTTAGTACTGATGCAACCGGTATGTTCATTGGAAGCACAGACTCCTCACCGACATTTCTATGATATTTCATTTATTTGATACGATCTAGCACGTCGTAAATTTCAACAACAAACCATTAATTACAATCGATTTCGCAAATCTTTCTCGAGGGCTCTATTCTTGAAGAGATTCAAGAATCTTTATTATGCGCAAATTTATCGACGACACATTCCATTCTTATGCAATACGCAATGTATTTTCTTGGATATATACGAATGCTTTTGCAACAGTTGATCTATCAGTTAGGAAATCTCATACAACATCCCCCTCCCCAACAAACGCCCACCCTTAAAGTACTTTATTGTACCACTAATAAAATCAGATATACAACACCTAATGGATATCATGCATGTTTCAGAGATATCTTCTTATACCTTGTGCTTTATATAATGTCCCACTGTGAATAATGATTAAATATTGCATATGACGCATCCTTTAACATGACGCAGATTTTTCTAGAAGGTATCAAGCTATCCGAGGTATCTAATGGAAGTCACGGTTACAAGAAACTTCTATTCGCAATGTATAAATGCATTCTCAAGAAACGTGTCGCATTTGCTTTATGAGGTCAAGAAGTTGCCGGAAAGTCAGGGAAAGACATGCGATAGCTAAAAGGTGGCGAGAGTTAGCATCCTTTTTTCGCGTTACGAGGATATTTGTGCGGAATCACATAACATCACTTTTACTTTCAGTTTTAATTTAAAATTTTGTCTTTTTTTCATTGGTCTAAAAATGTATTATTATCTCTATTCTTGTTTCCAAGTATTACACTCTAACTCCGTCTAAATTCTTATATAAATTTCCGATTTAACCACGCTTTAAATACAAGAACAATAAAGTCATACGCAAAGAAAAAGATATATAATATTTTTATTAAAGGAATTTTCGCATCTTGTACGTGCATAACGATAAGAATGCACTTGTTGTTCTTATTAGTGACGTTATTGAGATTAATCGCATAACGCGTTCCACATTCCATCGGACGCACAAACGATACGGCGAATATAATGTACATCCGTATAAAATATTTATGTGTACAAATCATATAAGATAAATGCGGATCATTATTGCGAAACAATTCCCCGTATAGAGAATAAAAATATACTCTTAATAATCTTCTCTTCAACATAGCATCCTTTTTTCGCGTTACGAGGATATTTGTGCGGAATCACATAACATCACTTTTACTTTCAGTTTTAATTTAAAATTTTGTCTTTTTTTCATTGGTCTAAAAATGTATTATTATCTCTATTCTTGTTTCCAAGTATTACACTCTAACTCCGTCTAAATTCTTATATAAATTTCCGATTTAACCACGCTTTAAATACAAGAACAATAAAGTCATACGCAAAGAAAAAGATATATAATATTTTTATTAAAGGAATTTTCGCATCTTGTACGTGCATAACGATAAGAATGCACTTGTTGTTCTTATTAGTGACGTTATTGAGATTAATCGCATAACGCGTTCCACATTCCATCGGACGCACAAACGATACGGCGAATATAATGTACATCCGTATAAAATATTTATGTGTACAAATCATATAAGATAAATGCGGATTATTATTGCGAAACAATTCCGTATAGAGAATAAAAATATACTCTTAATAATCTTCTCTTCAACATTTTAACCAGCCTGTTATATAAAAAATAGACTCGTATGATCATTAATCTTGAACTATAATTAATTACAATTACTTACATCAAAATGTAATTTGATATACCTCTTCGATTTTGTTCGCGTATGCAAATGAGCTTAAAAACATTAATCTTACTCACTAATGTAATTGTATAATTTTCTGTTGCGAGCGATAAAAAAATACGCGATCCGACAAGTTATACCTTCATAAGTCATATTTATCCATTATAATAGACTTTGTCACAAAAAATAATCGCGGTTACCGCGCAATTATGTAAATTCATGTTAAACAATAAAATTCCTTTCATATATAATAGCAATAGTAAACGATATCTTACAATAGTAAACAGTATCTTCATTTTCTAGCAAAAATGAATTATATTCATTTATATAAATAGATATGAGAATAACCTATTTTTTCATATATCCTCCTGATAAACATTAATTAATTTTTTATATAGAGGGATTTTTATACAAAGAAAATAAAATAGGTTAAACAAATAAAGTATACATCGCGTGTTCTTATAGCATATAACTTAAATACAAATACATGTGACATTTGCCCCTTGTATGTGTGATTTAAGAGATATAAACTGTTAAATTTCAATTTTACAAAAATGTAATGCGAACTACTTGATATATTATAACACTATGGCATTTTGCACGCTAGATAAATCCATCTGTTATGTCGATGTGGCAATTGCATTAAAATATTGCATTTACAAACAGATAGAATCTCAAAATTTAATTTAATTTGCTGTTCATTTAACGCAACAGGTGTAATAAACCATGTTTTGCTTAAGAATTCGCTTAAGCAATGCATTCCTCATGAGCAAATCGTAAAATAGCCTGTGCGCGAAAGTAATAGAAAAGTAATAGATAACCATAGACACTCTCTTATCCGTTTGAAAGATCGCATGAGAGAAAGTGTTTCATTTATATTCATTTTTTGCATTATTACCTTTGCATACGATGGCCATTGTTAATAATACTTTGAAATTCTTTTTTAATGAAACATCAAAATTAGAACCACTGAATAGAGGTGATCTTTCAATTATTATCAAATCTATTGAGATTTATATTTATTTGTAGAAAAATAATTAATGTTGATGAAGAAATTTTTGCTTTAAGAATATGTTCGCGAATTAATCTATATTATATATATCAGTTTTATATCATATTAAATTTATATAATCGTGAATTTTTAGAAATTAAGTTTTTAATGATGGTACAATAATCAAGGATATTAATAGTTTTTTACATCTTCATTGAGAAATATCGATGTATTAGGGAAA